TATCGGCAATTTCTTTTTCTTTGCTTTTTTTTTTTTTTTTTTTTGTAATATGTTATAAATTATCAACTCAAATTATACAATTTCATAGTTCAAGGAAACATATATGTAAATTTGTAGACTTCTCTTATATTACTTTTATAATAATATGATATGTTTCTAATATATATATATCTATATATATATAGAAACAAATAAATATTTTTCTTTATAATTGTTTGAATTAATTATTATGTTATTACACTCAATACATTCTGCAGGAATTTTCAAAATTTCAAAATGTAACCCTAAGAAACATATTCTATACTCCCTGCTGTTGTGGTGTGGTTAGCATTCATTTAGGAAAATAGATCATCATTTCAACAATTTTGTACGTTCTCTAACATAAACACAAACGATGAAATGAAGATATGACAATTTCCTTCATAGTCTAAAACAAAAATGGGTTTCACATTTAAAGTGAGGTAGATTACCATACGTCGATTGTATTACATGACCTATTAGAAATAATAAAGGTAGTAGCTGTTAACAACTCCATTAATGTACAATTCATAATTTTTCTACTTAATAAAATAAACTTACTAATACGATTGTTTCTCAACCCTATAACTAATAAAATTAGTGCAACTCTAAAATGTTTTGACTAAACCAACTTACTATGTTTTAAATATCCCTGTGAAGGGGACATTGCTCTGACTGTGTTGACATCCAATCCAATCATTCAGTTAATTAAAATATATGGACAAATTTTTTATCAAAGTGAAATTAATATGCCATTGTACTTTGAAAAATCGGAGCAAATTACAACTGAACATAAAACCTAAAGATAACATAATAACTGAGATCCTTACCTTCAAGCTTCATTATATCTTCTTCAATTGTTGTTTTGAATTTTTTCAAATACGAGAAAACGTCATTTTTAGGTTTTTCCAAAACTTTAATCAATTTTCGTTTTCGTATAGCGCCGTTTTGTGAACACGTGCAAAGATATTCCGGGAAAACACTTTACATTGAAGGCTATAAAAAAACACTGTACATAGTACTTTAGTACATAGTACATAGTTTCCAATAAATTCTTTAGTAAAAATTTTCAAAGTTTTTTCTAATGCCTGCTTGTTTACTAATGACTTGAAGTTTATATATATTTTGTTTTTTATTGACGACATTATTTCTAAACGGCACAAATTACTAGCTGCAGAGAGACCCCTTCGATTCTTGGAATAAGAAAATTTTTTACGTATTAAAATTTAATTTTATCTTAGAAAATTAAATTAGGTTAATAGGAATTATGGAGTAAATGTGATATGTGAAATTGTTGTTGTGTTCTATGTAAATAAAAAAAACCTTGATATTGACATTAGTATCATCATTGTGACAGTGACGAAGTTTTCTAAACCATGCCACGTTAGTTATAACAGTGTGGGTCTTTTTAATTTGCTTTTTACTAGCAGGCATATGAGCAGATCCATACACAAAAAGTATTACCTTTCAGATATAGGCACAATTAAAAAGTATTACAATAGTTGTAGCAGTACGAAATTGATAATTGAGATTTGATTGGCTATATAGACGAATCACACAAATTTATCGGGACCTTAGGATATTTTGGTAAAGAATGAAGTAAAAAATATAGCCAGAAAATATCATGAAAAAATACAAATTCATTCCAACTCTCTAGCTTCGAGTTTGATGTCCTTCTCAAAAATTTTTACGAAGCTGAAAAGGAAAACATTGCTTCAGATGTTATAATAAAATCAGATGTTAAAAAAAAGGAGTAGCTTTCCACAGAAAGAATTACCTAAATTGCAAATTATCAGGTGTCAAATTTTATTTATCAAATAATTGTAAATGTGAAATATCACAACATGAATCAAGATAATATTTTTTACTAATTGTTAACTCGTGTGTTATTAATTGATTGAAAAGTTAACTGTGAAACTATTTGCTAGAAGTAGCTTAACTATTAAAAGTTTTAAATAAATAAACAATTAAAATCTAATGTATATATCATTTTTATATGCTAATGAACTTTTATAAATCAATTATTCACTTGTGTAAATACATCGTTTGACAAAATTATTACATTAAAGTACCAATAAGTGAATTTATAATATTAGTATATTAGTATATAATATATGAAAATTTTTTTTTTGAATTTAGTATAGAATTAATCATATCCCATGTATTATTTATAATTAATTATATGTAATTTATTATGTATAATTAATTAATTATATATATATAATATTATTATTTATAATTAATTATATGTAATTTATTATGTATAATTAATTATATATAATTAATTATATATAGTTAAATATATATAATTAATTATATATAATAAATTCATCTTTTTCATTATTTATACGTTATTACATCAATAGTCAATTTTTGTATAACAAACAAAATTAAGTTTTACTGTTAATAGCAATTATTTATATAAATTTATATAAATTTAATTTATATAAATTTTTAAATATCACATTTGTTATTGAAAATAGGCTTCATACATATCTTAAATAAGTACTTGCTACAAATAATTATTAAAAATGTCAACGTATACTTTATGTAATAGAATTAATTATATATGCTCACAAATGTTAAATGTTAAAGAATAAATAAACGGTTTTACTCTATAATTATTTATACATTTTATGAAAAGATTGTTGCCCATCACAGAAAAACTGTTAGGAGTAATGGTTATAATTATATCTCGATTAGATCTATTTGTTTGCTTTTGAATATACCATATATAAATATACACATGAAATAATCTTTAGATTTCACTGACAATATCAAGTAAAAAATATTAATATACATATTATAGTTATATATATATTATGATTCACACTTTTATTTACTTTGGCAAAGTGTTTTTGTTGCAGTATAATTTATTAAATATGTATTATATAAACCATACAGTTATACCCTATTGCATATATAATTGCACTATTTCAGTAATAATATAGATAATTTGTGTAGCAGATAATAACATAGCTATGTGGGGCGTTAAGTAACAACACATATGTGATTCTAAACAAATAATCCATAAGAGTTTTGTTTCAATATGCATTTTTTTTACCATTTACGAACTTTAAATAAGGGTTCGCACACACACACATATGTATATCAAAGAATATTGGAGTATTTCCTAGAACGACTATAGCGAAATACTATAATAACACAGCTATGTGGGGCGTTAAGTACCAACACATATGTGATTCTAAACAAATAATCTATAAGAGTTTTGTTTCAATATGCATTTTTTTTACTATTTACGAATTTTAAATAAGGGTTCTCACACACACGCATATATATATCAAAGAATATTGGAGTATTTCCTAGAACGACTATAGCGAAATTCTATAATAATAAAGCTATGTGGGGCGTTAAGTAACAACACATATGTGATTCTAAACAAATAATCCATAAAAGTTTTGTTCAATATGCATTTTTTACCATTTACGAACTTTAAATAAGGGTTCGCACACACACACACATATATATCAAAGAAGAAATATTCTCTACACAATCTTTATATACATTGTGACCGAAAAGCTTTCGGAAATTCTCATTTAAAATTCGCGCGCTGTATATTTTTCGATATTTTAAGTTTATGTAGTTTGGCAGCACTGTCCTTAATTACTATGCCAAAAATGAGCGCGATCTGTCAGACAGTTCGTTTACGGCAGCTGTTGAAACCAGTTCACCTCAGTAGTGCGTTGCGAAAAAAACAATGGAAAAAAATATTGAACAAAGAGTTTGCATCAAATTTTGTTTTTCGAACGAAATTTCGTGTGCAGAATCGTTGCGAATGCTACAAAAGGCTTATGGGGAATCAGTTTTATCGAAAACTCAAGTTTATGAGTGGTACAAAGCCTTTCAGGACTGTCGTACGACCGTCGAAGACATGCCGCGTTCTGGACGACCTTCGACCTCTACCACCGACGAAAACATTGAAAAGGCAAAGGAAATCGTGTTCAAAAATCCTCATGTGAGTGTTAGAGAGATAGCACGAGAGCTAGGCATCGGTCGTGAGATGGCTCGTTTGATTTTGGTGGACAATTTGTGTATGCGACGTGTCAACGCCCGGCTTGTTCCGATTCACCTCAATTTGTTCAACATTATCAACGATTTTAAGGCCAAACATTCAATAAATACCATCGAACAGCCACCGTATTCACCTGATCTTGCACCGTGTGACTTTTTCCTGTTTCCCAACCTCAAATTACCACTCAGAGGAACGCGTTTTGAATCCATAGAAGACGTAAAACAGAATTCGCAGAGGGAACTCAAAGCCATACCGGAAAGCGCCTATAAAAAATGTTTTGATGATTGGAAGAAACGTTGGCATTTGTGTATCGCTTCTAATGGAGCATATTTTGAAGGAGATAAAATAAATATTGATGAAGATTAAGAATTTTGCGTTTTATTTAAAATTTTCCGGAAACTTTTCGGTCACAATGTATTGGAGTATTTCCTAGAACGACTATAGCGAAATTCTATATTGCGGTTTTTATTTTTTCAAAACATGCGGCTATTACTTTTTTGTATTCACATTTTTGATATTTAATTTGTTTATTAATTTTATAATTAATTTAAAATAGCAGTTTCATTTATTTTGAATATTACATATAGGCTTTAAGTATTCAATATTGCATAAGTTGGATGAGATCGGTGTTTGATGAATTGGCTAGAAATCATTCCATTATTCATAGAATCTAAATAGATTAACTAGTCGTTAAAACTTCCATTGCTACCCACAAATAAATTCATTGAAATCCCATTAAATCCCATACAGATACCCTTAATCTTTATGACAATATATTTGCAATAAACTATAAATGTTAAGAAATAGTAAATAACTAATAAAATATATAACAAATCGTCAGATTACAAAGTGCAATTAATCATGATTGTTGTTTAATTGTATAATTTTCATGATATGTTTATATGGTGGAACTATAAAAACTGATAATAAAAATATTCTCATTTTCCAGACTAGTTGGTTAAAACGCAGTTGATTGGGAGGCTCGTGTTAGAGATAATCGTAAAAATTTATCGTATAAAGTGTATAAAGTGCAATGACTCTCCTGCATCACGATATTAAGACCATAGATGGAAATGGTACTGGGGGCGGAGGTGGTGGCGGAGGAGGAGGTATGAACTGCTGTTCAAGTGCAGGCAGTTCTGAAATATCCATTGATGAAACTGTCAACCCACAAGTAAATAAGGATTTGCTCCAACAACAAACTAAATATGAAAATATTGAAGCAAATTTTCCACGTTGCAATGAAGTTGATATTGAATTCGAAAATGTTAAATATACAGTGAGACGATTTTCATTTGCAGAACGTAAATTTGGTAAGTAAAATTATTAATTAATTAGTTGATTAATGTGGATAATCAATAGAGATTATTCGCAGTTACTATACATATTTTCTTGTGTTCTGTGTTACCATAATAGCTACATAGATATATATTTATAGTATAAATATTTTTTCAAATATAGTTACAAAAGAAATTCTACATGGCATTAATGGAGCTTTCCGTTCTGGAGAATTAACTGCTATTATGGGTCCATCAGGTTCTGGCAAAAGCACACTTTTGAATGTTATGACTGGATTTCGGTAAGTCTAAAATAACATTTTTTGCATTTATTAAAAATATAATATATGTATATATATTTTTTTTTGAAATAGTTCTCTTAAGTATTAATATACGAATCTAGTTCTTATTAGAAATAGTAAGTTTCCACTTTAATCATTGACTGTGGGTTATGTTCTAGTGTTTATAGTAGTCATAACAAATTTTTGATGCAGCTTTGGCATGGCCTTATGCCAAGAATCCGAGAAGGGTTATATTTTGTGGCCGTAAAGGCTAGAGTCTTATCGAAATGAGTATAAAACTCAATTTTCCAGTCATTGTTTACTTTCTTTCATTTAAAAGTTTCGTTATCCACAACTTCAATACACTGTCCATACCTATTTTTGTGTTTACACCAGAGGAACTAAAGCATTAACCTTAACGCTACGGTTTAAATACTCTAACGGAGAGCGATCATCTAGCGTTATGACTTCTAAATTTTTGTTCAATCTTTTTGTCAAGTAAATTTAATTAACTACTTTATATAAAGTAGTTGAATAAAACGATTTGAGATAAGTTTTTGGTATGAATGCTTCTTTTTTTAAATATGGTATTTAAGTGATTTTTAAATAAATTAATAAATTTACTATTACTACACATCTATTGTTACTTTTAGCAGTTATCAATTAATATAATGAATTTGGTTTTCAATTTAATCTTTTGAAATTCATAAATGGTTTTAAGTATACTTATAATTATCGCTATCTTCAGTGTAAACAGCTTCTGAAATTTAAATTATATACTTCCAATACAAATATTTGTCCACTAATAAACCAACTTCAATTTTTATTTATTACCATACAATCAAATCAATACAATACAATCCATTTTTGGCGGCGACACCAAGTAAAAATGTTATTCAAAAATAATTTTAAATTAAAAGATATAATTTTTTTGAATTATTAAATCCATAATAAAAATTCTTAACTGTTTGTAAATTACGCACCTCAGAAGAGAAGAACAAAAGTAATTAAAATTCTGGACACGTTTTGAAGTACAGATACATTTTGAATTTTGTCTATTCTTTTCTTTTTTTATACTCGTATCGCCAATATAAATCGTTTATAAATAATCCAAAAGAATGTATAAATTGAGGTATTAAAAACATTTTAGGATAAACAAAGGATTTCAAATGAATCCAAGAGAATATAACGTGACGAATTTCTTAATTTTTAATAATGAAATAATGAAAATATACAATATATATACAGCAAAACTGCGTTACTCGGGATCCATTATAATTGGGATCAGTCCGGATTACTGAGATCAGTTCGGATTGCGGAAATCATATTAAAACTCCAGGAAAAGTTTTATGTATATTTATGCATATATTTAAACAACAGAGACTGAATTAAAACTGAACAGTAATACGTTGCTAATTAAATGAATCCATTAATTAAATGACACACTCAGGTGATAATTGATAAAGTGTATAAGTAAATAGCAAACAGAGTGAATAAAAAATACAAACGTATATGTATATAACCCACGAATGCAATTTAATGCATAAATCTATCGAGCAACCATGTTTTTTGACATGTGATCCGAATTAGTGAATCAGTGCTTGATCCGGACTTCGTTCCACATAATGTATGTTTTGCAATTTCTAACTTTGTTCAGATAGTAGTTAGTTTGCGTTGAAAATGAACATCATAAGGCCACTCGTTATCATTTAGTTAATAATTTATCTTGCCTTTAATCAGTTAAGCTACAGTTAATGTCTAAAATTATTAAATAATGACTAAAAGCGACACTAAAATGACAGAGCGTCTTCAGAATTCAGAACCTGAGATATATATATTATTTACATCTTTAATGCTTCAAAGGCAATTTTTCTTTTTAAAACTTCAATATAGAATATGCAAAAAGTGATAAATGTGTATAAGATTTTAGTTATTAAAATTATATTATTGCAATATTAAAATATGCATAAAGTTATAGTGTGTATAAGACAATATTTAGTAGTCCTAGTTAGTTAGTTGTGGTGGAGAGAAAATCAAATCCTCCTCAATTAGCTAAGAAAGCCATCTTGAATCCAGAAATCCTTGTTACAATAGATTAAAAAGAAAAGGTCAAGATATGTTAGAACCAGCTAGAGGCAATAATAAAAACATGATTCTGTCCAATGCTAATGCTGGAGATATCGACGAGTGTATTAAAGAACGGTGACATCAGAAAATTAAGCCTGGTTCTGGCCAACCCTGAACATAGACACAGCAGGTGTTCTGGTATTCTTTCTTCAAAAGCTAATAAACACATATTACAGTAGATACCACAGGGTAGGCCAAGCTTAGCTTCATAGCGTCCTATGATCCAGTGTCCTGTAAAGGCAGAAACCTCTGAATTGCATTTGCGCATCAAGTCAGAGGTTCTACATTTGGAATAGATTGACCATGTAGTCCTTGACCTGACTGCTGACGCGGCATGGGCCCACTTACTATTTGCTTGTCGCAAAATATATGCTTGTCGCAAAATATATGCTTGTCACAAAAATATAAATTAACCTCCGATCGTAACTGGCAGTGGCAGGGATTGAAATAGGGGTATCTGCAGAACAGGCGCCCAATCTAGCAAGTTCGTCTATGCACTCATTTCCTACTATTTTAAAATACATTTAGACTTTTAGTAGTCTTCAAATTCACTCATTCTATTCACTAAATTCTAAAAAATCGACATGCTAGTTCCGATGTTCACGTACTTAATTTTAATTTCCCATAAGAAGACATAAAATTTTCTCATATTTCTTAGAAAAAATGTAAATGATATCTTCTTCAACTTGTTCCAGTTCGTTATTACATTATCTTAGTTATTACTAAGATGGCCAGTTTTTATGACTTTCATTTTGGACTTAATTACTAGGTTGCAATAGTATCAGCTGATGATTGATAATTTTCTCATTAGTAAAACATTTTTTTTGCAAATGCTCTTAGTATATACTAATCTGTATCGATTAATTCCCTAGAAAATGATAAACTAGCACCATTATATTAATTTTTGGATTGAAGAAAAGGTATTGAACATTTTTTAGTAATAATTGACATTTTTGTTTCAACAAATATATTATTGTTTCGCATATTACCCATATTTTTAACTATCAACACAGTTTTTTAACTTGACTTTAACTAAATTTCTTGAAAATAGGATGCTGTGGTTTTATATATGAAAAATTGATGTGACAACTTTAGACACTCTATTTCTGAGATTACTTTCACTTTAGCAAGAGAATCTTTAAAAAATCTTTATATACGTCAACATTATACGTTAACTGTATTTGAAACTGGACCTTAGTTTGTTAGTTTGTCAACTTCTGTCAGTTTACCAAAGTGGATTGGCTTTGTCATAATGAAACATAGCACCTTCTCTCTTTATTAATTCCGCCCTCTTCATTTAATTTCAATATTAATTATAATTGTTAACAGTAGACACTCGAATCAAAAATTTTGTGGATAGCTGTAGCTTATGATAGATACTGCTCTTTCAAACCCATTAAAGACACACCATGACCTTACTTAGTCGTCAATTTTGGCGTTGCAACAGTATGTGACAGTTTTTATTTAGCAGTGCCGTATCTAATATACTTTTAACCACTTGTTATTATACTTGGCATAATCATAGAGGTTGTAAAAAGCTGTCCTTACATTTTCATATATTATTATAATTATTTGGTTTTATGATTTCTAAAAATGTTAGAAAATATACGAAGTCTGGAATGGGCAGGCAGCACTTGAGAGAGAGAGAGAGAGAGAGAGAGCATTGTGGAACACTAACGGCGCTTTATTGACCCTGAATAGTTTATCTATAAGTGTAAATGTTTCGCATTCGTTTCATACCCAGTTTAATTTATTTGTTATATATTTTATATTTTGCTGTGTGCAAAAAAAAAAATAAATAAATATTTTTGCGTCGTTATTATTTGTGTGATAAAAGTTATGAATACCACATGCTGATATATGGTATAATATTTTCTGTGAAGAACCTAGCTTTTTTGTTTTTTGTAAAAAAAATCTATTTTTGATTATTTTTCTATTACGTACAGTAAATTCAACAATTGTTTTTATCAAAACATCAGTACCCCTCACACTCTTTCCTTTTCAGTAACAAATTTATGATTCAACAATAAATTCCATGCTATGAGTAAAAATTTCTTCTAGATATTTACTTCGGATCAATCCATTACATTCTTATTGTAATTTGAACTAATTGAGTAGGAGTCATAGAAAATGGATACACAATTACTGATATCGAAACAGAATCGTGAATCATATCGTCGTGTTGATTGGAAATATGTTATATAGGTATGGTAACCGATGTCTATATTTTTTTATTGAATACATTTTTATAAAGCTTGCACACAATTTATTCAAACAATGTTTATTTAATGCATAACAATTTATTAAAAATATTATTGCAATAATATACGCCGTCAAATACGCCCTCAAATTTGGATTAAATGAATAATACATGGAAGTAACTTGGGAACCAATAAACATTTTCAATTTGGAATCAATTTTATTTATTTATATAATTTTGATGTTAATTTAATCACTCTGATGCCTTCTCAAGATAGGTTTTTTGCTTTCGATAATCACATATTATAGAAGCCGAATTTTTTCTTTAGTTCATTGGTTCTTTGTCTGCAAACAAGTAATAGTGATTGCTTGTAGCCAGATCTGTGAAATTTGTTGGATACAGAGAAGTAAATAAAAGTGCAATACATGCAATTTCGTCCGTGAATGGCCATTCTTATTATTAAAGTCTAGGGTTTCCTGCATATGGAGTAATAGTTGTTTGTAACTAAGATTACTTGTGGAACTGTGTTAGTAATTACTTACGTTGCGATGATTTACACATTTTTATTATCCATCGAGTAAGGAAAAAATATAGTTAACAGTTTGTTGACGATTGAATTTCTAACTGCTTATAGAGAGTGAAGCATCACTTTATCGTAATTGGTACTGATGGAATATATAGTTTCTAACACTAAATAGTTTTGGAATTGTACTGGCAGTAGATTTAAAAATATGACGTTTGTTTGAAGTTCAGTTTCTACATGTCACGTACCTCAATGTGATAATGATCGTGTAACTTATTAAAGTCCAACAACCCGATTATAGATAGAGTGTCTGAACGCAAGAACTTGTAATATCGATTAAGTTATCAATGTTAAAGGAATATTGCTTGCTACTAAGAAATCTTACAGTATTTAATCTAATATTAAATTTTTTTGTGAGGTATTAGCAATCTGGATTAATAATGAATTCTTTATCAAAAATAATTTTTAAAATGTTTCAACAGATTACACACTTAATAATTATATTTTTCAAATTAAGATTTGGATTATTATTCTAGTATATACTGGTAAATATACACGATTGCACACATATATATATGTATACATACATATATGATCAGCTAATTGTGCGATAATGATTATTACAGTGATTAACAGTGACTGTGTTATACTATAATCTACTATGTAATGTAGACACCATACTTTTCGAATCAAATTTATTATTTCGAAAAGTATAGTGTGTCTTTAATATTACGTAGTAGAATATAAGACTGTACTAATCAGTGTTATAATCATTACCGGACAATAGCTGATCTTATTTATTCATTATCATCTTAACTGTATGAATATACGCCAATCGATTACATATAGTAAATTTGACCTGAGTGAGATTGACAATATTTAATTATATATATGCATATAAAAATTTAATATAAAAACGTGTTATAAAGCAGTTTTTTTTTACCAAAATTAAAAAGAAATATTCTGAAAAAAAAGAATGATGATAAATTTAAAATGAAAGCATTTCGTTCCAATTATTTTTTCTTTCAAATTTAAACACATTATCTATTTTTTTGTTGTGTTATTGTTTGATTTTACTTGTATTTTGAAATCTACTAACCTGTGAGGTCACATACGTTTAATGGGTCAATGTTAACCTTTTTAGTTGCGATAATTGCCAAGGAAAGTAAAGTAAATGATAATAAAAACGTAAAAAGAATTTTGGAAATTATATTCTTATGGAATAATTTATAATAAAAATTTTGATTTTGCGTTGTCAAAGGTAAACAAAACCATTTTAAGAAAAAAACAATAATTAAGAAAACGATATTTTTCTAATTAACATATAATTTATGTGATGTTTATATTAATATAATAAATTTTGATATACACTTAAACCGACTCTACATAAATCCAAAAAATAGATTGAAATAGAAAGAAATTGAATCAATCTTTTCAAATTGTGTGCTCCATTATTTGATGGATTGTCTTGATGGATCAAATATTTATTCCTAAAGGATCTATAAATTCTCCACAGATTTCGTATTTAATTGCTTATAAATATAATTTACTCTTAATAGAGTTCTGAAGTCTTCTTCACTTTTTAATGTTATGTACCTTCTGCTCAAAAACCTCCTGCTCCGGATTTTGTTGTTTGTTAACTACTCCTTAAGTAATAGACCTTTTTCAAAATTTTTTTTGTTATGTTGTTACACCCTTTCTTGACATATGGTACAAATTTGAGCGCCTTCTGTCAATTAGTTTGTTTACTGCAGCTGTTAATGTGAGACTACCTCATGTGCATTTAGTGATTTTTACTATGGAAAATTCTTGTTGTACGCGTTTTTTTGACCAAACATGGCACCACTGTCATCGTTCAGGTACCATATTCGTCAGATCTGGATCCGTGCGACTTTTTCCTGTTCCCGAAACTCAAATTGCTCGTTCGTGGTAAGCGTTTTGAGTCGATTGAAGCGGTAAAAGAGAATTCACTGATGGAACTAAAAGCCATACCTTCACGGGCCTACGAAAAGTGTATTGAAGATTGGGTTAAGCGTTTGCATATGTGTATCTCTTCAGAAGGAGCATATTTTGAAGGAGATAAAATAAATTTGGAATAAATTTTAAATTTATGTGGTTTTATTTACAAAATCCGGATGCTTTTTGAACAGAATGTATGACTGTTGAGCTATATAAATCTATAGAAATAATATTTTGGAATATTTTATTAATAAAATTTAAAATAAATTTAAATAAATTCTCTAATTCATAGCTGTAGTGAATACGATAATTGCCAACTTCTAAACGAATTTGAACCAAATATCTATTTCAGTACTTAACATACGTGTAATAGTAGTTTTGTTTGCTTTGAGAGTCCATACGTTGCATCCATACGTCAGTACTGGTCTAATTAGGCATTTAGATATACGCAGTTTTTGTTGTCTTGATAAGATTTTAGATTTAAAAAAGTTTCATATATAGGTGATATTTCTTATTTGCTGCCTGAATTCTATTTTATATCGCAGTTGATGTGCCTTATTTATAATTCAGTACCACTCAAAGGTATTTCATATATTTTGTTTTTTGATGATTGACTTTTAGCCTGCTTTTTTAATCTAAAAAAAATCTTAACTGTTGGGTCTCTTTCCTAACACTCTTCCCTAAATACACCACTGTATACAAATATGATTTTTTATCGAGTCGGGATATTTTAATCTTAATTCTTATAACGTTGTATTAAGACTATTAACAGTGAAATAATAATGGAATAATGTAATTTAAAAATAATAATCAGAATGTGTTTTGAGGTATGAGTTCTTGGTTAGGGTGGGATGTTTCAATAACTAATCTTATAATGATTAATTAAGATTATTAACAGTAGAATAATGTAACTTAAAAATAATAATTAGGAGGTATTTTTGTGTATGAGTTCTTCATCAAGGTGGGATGTTTTAATAACTGATCTTATAATAATCCTATGAAGACTATTAACAATGGAACAATAATGGAATAATGTAATTTAAAAATAATAATTAGAAGGTGTTTTGGGGTATGAGTTCTTCATTAGGGTGTGATGTTTCAATAACTAATTTTATAATAATCTAACTAATTATTAACAGTGAAAAAATAATGTAATTTAAAAATAATTATCAAGAGGTGTTTTGTTGTAAGAGTTGAATGTAGGTAGTGCTGATACTGTCAGTATATTCCTTTCTGCTTGTTGTTCTCTTATTGCTCTCTAGTGTTAATCAATTGTTGTGAGTTCTGACTTTATGTATTATTTTAACGTTGTCGAAAATCCCTGCTTATTTCGTATGTGTTATGTGTTAGGTTAAAGCTGTTAATTCTTTACCTGTTTCGGTGTCGTTTTTGTGTATCTCTACTATATGTGTGTACTTTTTTTTATTTTTATATAAAAAGTTCACTAAGAGTCTTACACAAAAAATTATTATTTATAAGAAGTGAATTCAAAAGAAACAAGTAATAATAATTTATTGTTTAGAAAGGTGCATAATTAATTTTAAATTAATTGATTTATTTGGGGATTATGTCTCTATAATAACTGTTATTTTTAATAACTGTAGATGTATTCATGAAATATTCTTTATGGCATTGCATCTGTGGAAAGTTTTTTAGCATAAACTTGTCTCAAAGTAGTTGCATAAATGTTTTACAGTATATAATTTTGATATGTAGCTCTTAAACATATGTTCCTACATAATTATACAAATTATACAAATTATACTTTAATGCTTCCTTAATTCAAGCAAAAATTTCATTTAATTTAAAAATAAAACTGCATTGAAAGAAATCATACTACCTTGCACTCACAATACACGTTATTATGCGATTATTATGTCCTCTGCAGTTCATCTCATATTCATAAACCTTTTAAATATTTTGCGACTTTGACATCCAACCCGCGTCAACCTTGAATACGAATATATATTTATTATTAAATAATCCCAGCAAAAGTTTATTAACTTGAGCAGTTATGAAAAAACTCTTTGTGATTAATTTCCTGATTTGCTTTTGTTTCATGAGCCATCCATGTTATTTGTTGTTGCTATTATTGAACTGCAAATATACAAATTATAGTATAAAAGTTGAATTCGAGATAAGATTGTCATGGCGACTACGCACAATGTTTGCACAGAAATAATAAAAAAAAATGCTCACATTATTTAAATGCCTTTAGTAATATATTGAAAGTTTTGATTAATTGTATATATATTCATTAAATATGAAATAAAAATAAAAATTGAACACTTTTCAGTCGTTTGATTGTAAACTCGAAAGTGTTCAGTATAGACATTTAACCCTCAACAAAAGTTCTCTAATTTATTACCATAAATTCTAAGTATTCATTTTATAAATATTTTTTTTTATTTCAGTTCTACTGGCGTGACTGGTTCAATATCAGTAAACGGAAAATCTATATCTACAAATTCTTCCAAATTTCGTGAGCTATCCTGTTATATACATCAGGATGATTTACTACGCCCACAGTTGACTGTAGGCGAAACAATGATGCTTGCCGCTCACTTAAAGTTGGGATATAACGTCACCAAAGAACACAAACTTAATTTGGTAAGCATTTTTAAATTATAAATAATTAAAGGCTCAGTTAGACAGTACATACCGTAAGAACTTAAGCGAACGTAAGACAAAGCGAAATGCACAACCAACCATACCTAGGTATTTCGCTTTGACTTAAGTTCTTACGCTACGTACCGACTAACTGAGCCATAAATCTTATAAAATAGTGAAAATGAAAATAACAAAAATAAAAATTTTTGTCAATATTCATCATTAGACAACCTAAGTTTGTTCAAGAATGAGGACCGATCAGTTGATGATGAATATTCAGCATCACCCAACCTTTGTTCTCTAAAGAGTAATATTCACTCAAATTGGATTAGATATTATTAAAAAAAATCGGTTTTAGAAAAATTGTTCACCAAAGAGGAATATTTATTAAGAGAATTTTCACCAGAAAACAGTTGTAATATGAATATAATGTAATATATTAGGTGTAGTCAAAATAAATCCATTATTTTGTCAATAAATAGCTTTAGTTATCCGTATTAGTCCGATCGGATTAACTGGATGACGCTAGAGAGATGAGATTTCGTACTAAAAAAATAAAAAAGTAGACACTAGCAAAGAAAAAATACGCCATATTTTACAGTTTTTCTTTGATAAAGGCATAATAGTGATAACGCAAGCCAGGCGGCTGAAAATGTGAATAGTATTTATGGTCTTGTAACAGTCAATCATGCGCAATTTTTGTTTAATCTACTCTGTTCCGGTAATTTCTATGCCCAAACTCACAACGTACGGGAAGGCCAATTTTTGAAGTTATCGATAAAATCATGGAAATTGTCGAGTCCGACAACCTATCGTCATGTAAACATTGTTTCGTTAGCTTAAGAGCTAAACCATTGCATGTTTGGAACCATTTGAATAAGATTGAATACAAACAGAAGCTCGATGTCTGGGTTTCACACGAGTTAACGCAAAAAAAACTTCATGGACCCAATTTCCATCTGCGTATCGCTACTCCTTTATGGTAAAACTTTTAAATCGAAACTGTATTGTTCTTCTGAATAATTAGACCATCTAAAAGAAATTTTTGTCCAAAGACGGTCAGCTTTGGATAATAGGAGAGAAATTGTGTTCCCTTAGGACAAAGCTAGGCCACACATATCGATAATAATGTGTGCTCGCCAAAAGTTTCGTAAGCTTGGTTGGGAAGTTTTTATGTATTCACCTTTAAGTTCAGACCTGGCACCAAGTTATTACCATCTGTTCCTGTCCATGGCGCACTATGGAAGATTTTTCTGGTGAAAAATTCGCTTTAAGGAAGGCTTGTGAAAATCGACAGTCTCAATTTTTTGCCAATAGAGACGAGGACTTTTATGAAAGAGGTATAATAAAATTATTTTCAAAATGGTGACAAGTTGTCTTTGTTCGAGAACTTCCTAACTGGGATAAATAAGACTTGAATTTCATGAAAAATTATGGATTTACTAGACCTATTATTATAACGTTAAATATGAACAATTAACATTATAATTAATTAAAAACTGTTTAAAAGTAAAAAGGTTTAATGTTATTCAATTTTGGCATGTTTGAAAATGATAAACTATAATTTATTTAATCTGATTATAGTCTGAATGATGACAGTGTCACAGTGTTACCCGGTGTTATTGATATGTGTATATGTTCACAGTAAAAGCTGCTTACTAAATAGTTCCATTATGAATAGGTGTTTAAAAAATTTTTTATCCTGCTAACATATCACTTTGTGGAGTCCATAACTACTGGTAATTCTGCACTTTAGACGAGATCGTTCAGCCAACGTAGTTTTAATAGGATTGTAATCTATTTGTTATTGTTATTGTTACATTTTTATCTGTGAACAATAAATTTTTATCTGTCAAATCACATGATTTCAATATAATCGAAAGAGTATCTTATATATGTACCACACTTTGAGCAAAGGTCGAAAGAAATTTATTGATGTACCACAACCGATAGATTCCATCATATATGTTTATCAAAATGATTATTTCAGTTTTTTTCCTTGAACTTAAGTAAATATAAATGTCTCGTGCGATAAGTTTAAGACTAAACAAAATTCTTATATACATGTTAGAATCTCATCTAACGTACGTCCAGCATTCTTAATTTTTTTTTTAATCGATGATTAACTAAACGTTATCAAACATCAAAGTCACAACCGGAACTGTAAAATTGTGTAATAATGAAAAATATATGCCGGCAGTTAATTTATTTTATAATGAAATTAAATAATTAAATATATATATTGTTCATTCTCTAATTTTTTGTATATATAATATTAATATAAAAATGTAAATCTGTGATTTAATGTTACTGCAACCATTTGACATTCACTTATTTAATATCCGTTTACGTAGCGTGACTAAATAAGCGTGCTGCTCTTTTCAGCTATAATTATTTTTATGCATTAATATAACAATAATATTATATATTATTTTCATTATTCTTATTTTTAGATTAAACACATTTTAACACTCTTGGGTTTAGAACACCGTTACAATGTATTTACAATTAAATTATCTGGTGGGCAGAAGAAACGTCTTGCAATTGCTTTGGAACTGATAAGCAATCCACCAGTGCTATATTTAGATGAACCAACAACGTAAGTACAAATTAATAATATACATATATATATATATATATGGAACTTGTATTATAATCTGTTCTTTTTTTTAATATTTGTATTGGGTGAAATTGAAAATTTACGACTCTTCTTTTAAAACACAAAAACTTATTTTAAAATCTAATAGATACATTCATATACATTGTGACCGAAAAGCTTTCGGAAATTCTCATTTAAAATTCGCGCGCTGTATATTTTTCGATATTTTAAGTTTATGTAGTTTGGCAGCACTGTCCTTAATTACTATGCCAAAAATGAGCGCGATCTGTCAGACAGTTCGTTTACGGCAGCTGTTGAAACCAGTTCACCTCAGTAGTGCGTTGCGAAAAAAACAATGGAAAAAAATATTGAACAAAGAGTTTGCATCAAATTTTGTTTTTCGAACGAAATTTCGTGTGCAGAATCGTTGCGAATGCTACAAAAGGCTTATGGGGAATCAGTTTTATCGAAAACTCAAGTTTATGAGTGGTACAAAGCCTTTCAGGACTGTCGTACGACCGTCGAAGACATGCCGCGTTCTGGACGACCTTCGACCTCTACCACCGACGAAAACATTGAAAAGGCAAAGGAAATCGTGTTCAAAAATCCTCATGTGAGTGTTAGAGAGATAGCACGAGAGCTAGGCATCGGTCGTGAGATGGCTCGTTTGATTTTGGTGGACAATTTGTGTATGCGACGTGTCAACGCCCGGCTTGTTCCGATTCACCTCAATTTGTTCAACATTATCAACGATTTTAAGGCCAAACATTCAATAAATACCATCGAACAGCCACCGTATTCACCTGATCTTGCACCGTGTGACTTTTTCCTGTTTCCCAACCTCAAATTACCACTCAGAGGAACGCGTTTTGAATCCATAGAAGACGTAAAACAGAATTCGCAGAGGGAACTCAAAGCCATACCGGAAAGCGCCTATAAAAAATGTTTTGATGATTGGAAGAAACGTTGGCATTTGTGTATCGCTTCTAATGGAGCATATTTTGAAGGAGATAAAATAAATATTGATGAAGATTAAGAATTTTGCGTTTTATTTAAAATTTTCCGGAAACTTTTCGGTCACAATGTACATCTAATTTTAAAATATTTTAACTTATAGTAAATTAAAATCGATTATTTATATCAGGGCTGTCCAGACCATATAAGATCACAAGCAAATTCAATCACTGAATAGATTAGAGGGCCGCAGAAATAGGTACATACATTCAAAATTTTGCTGGAGAAAAATCAAAATACTATACGAAAAATATCTTATTTCTAATGTAGTCATTACGAGGCACTGGATACGAGTTTTTTGAACCAGTTGTACAAAGAAATATATACTAAACTCTTCGTCAATTAAGTAAATTAGCACAAAGTGTGATAAATTATTTAAAACATTTTATTTCATTTATTTGGAATACCATAAAAATTAAATAATGTAATTACTAAAATACAACAAATTTAAATATGCCTAATTGTAATAGATTAGAAATATGTAGCGGGCCGCAAAAAGATTAGCGACGGGTCGCATGAGGTCCGTGGGCCATGCTTTGGACAGCCCTGATTTATATGGTCAAAATAAAGTTTTATTTTTTTTTTTAAAAAGGCATATTTGTTAATTAAAAAAACTCTGCAAAAAATTATGAAATACGTCGATACATTTTTCTAAATACTCAACACGTTACGCAGTATGGGTTCAAAAAAAATTTGCAGAGCCTAAGTATAAGATTTTAAGATATAGATAAGATTAGATTAAGACATTGTTTGTATACATTTTTATACAAATCACATACTATACTAGAAGTAGTTTGTTGTTTAATGTGGGAGATAATAATAATAATAATATAATATACAAACAACAATTGCATTTCTATATTTAAGAATCTAATACGACATGGTTTTTTAGAACCGTTTATCAGATTTTAAGTATTATTTAATACGAATGGTTTTTTATATATTTGCCTTTTTTTACAAAAAAAAAGGTATTTACCTTTTTTAATTCTACAAGACTCAAACCATATAATACATCAACCATTGAAACCATTGATACATTGAAATTCTTTTATTATTGAACATTTTCTAAAAAAATATTATAGATCTTCCAGTTCATTAAAATTAGTTCAGTATATTTCTATTAGATAATAGATTATAAAGCTCGAAAGTGGAAAACTTAATTATTATCTGGAAGTTTGGATGTGAAAAATTTGTTTCATTATCTTTAGAAAAAATAAATAATACTTTTAGTGTAAACTAAATTGTTAAAAATTATACAATTGACGTTTTTTGGGTTTAGTCGTAAATTTTTTAATTTCTTATATAAACGCTGGCTCAATTTTAATATATCGCAACTATGTCATCTATATGGCACTCGACAAAACAATGAATTGCTTCCTAGATAATTGATACTTTCTCAGCTTCAAGCGGCAAATGTCGCAAACTAGTAGGTTAGAAATAGATGAACGCAGGTAATATGGAGGACTAGCTTAGGTTTGAATATTTTAGTTTAACAAAATTCTTAAGATTGGAATATTTTATTTTTCGTAACAAAACTTTTAAGTTAGAAGAAAGCGTCATTGCAACTTTTGCAGATGATACAGCAATCCTTACTACTGGAAATACCATAAAGGAATCAACAGAAGCAACACAATACTCCATTAAACAAATTATGAGTTGGACTAAAAAATGAAAAATTGAACTCAACTAAACGAAATCTGTCCATGTAAAGTTCATAAACAAAAAAATCTACTATTTGCCGATAACTATGTTTTCAGTGCTGGAAAATCATACTCAAATACAGCTAAATACCTTAGCATGAACTTAGGTGCAAAGTTGAAATGGAAAGAATATTTAAAAAATTAACGAGTTGAGCTAGAATCAAAATATAAAAAATATATTAGCTTCTTGAGAAAAAATTACCCATCTCTCTAAGCAACAAATTAATGATATAAAAACAAGTCTTAGCTCCAGTGTGGATATATTGAATTCAGTTATGGGCTATTTTAAGAAATAAGTTTTAATAATAATAAAAATTTTAAGAAATTTAGTCGACGCTCCGTAGTTCATTAGGAATACTGACTTTCATCGGCACTTGAAGATCGAATCTGTAGATGCAGTGATACAAAAGTTTGTGGCAAAGCACCAGAAACGGTCACAACAGCACCCAATTGAGACAGCCCACCATCTGTCTAATGTCTAATACATCTGGCCTGCTGAGGAGACTTAAACGAATCAAGTCTTCAGATCTACGCCCGAATTATTAGTCGAATAATAATTTAGATGGAGTAGTAATCTAGCACGAAGTCTTTGACAACTTGACAATTGTAAAACTGCTTGATTGTTCTCTGCACTTGAACTAGTGTTTCAAATAATGAAAAAAAAAAATTGTTGAGGTTGTAGAGAAAATCAGCTTAATAACTGGAGATAATTAAGGAGAGAAAATCAATCTTTTACTATTTCTGTTGTGTTTGAGATTGTATTATTTTCAGTATAACATATAGCATTTGTGTCTGTAACTCATTGGAAGATTTAAAGCTACGTAATAAAATTATTAAAATCTATAGAGAAAACCAGATGGTTTACTGGAGATGATTAAACAATCCTAATGGGATTACAACAGCCCATGGATCAATAAAATTCCCAATACCTTTTCTAGTACGGGTTGGTACTGTTATAATATTAGTTTATTCTGAGAGGATAATAATTCTGAGAAGATATATTTCTCTAAATCCTATGTGGTTGTCAATTTCTTTTGTATTACTGTCAGTATAACCGATAGTATTTGTATCTGTTAACTTATTGGAAGATTTTAAGCTACGTAATAAAATTACTAAAACCTGTAGAGAAAACCAGATGGTTTGCTGGAGATGATTAAACTTTCCTACTGCGATTACAACAGCCTATGGATATATAAAATTCCCAATACCTTTTCTGGTACGGGTTAGTACTGTTATAATATTAGTTCATTCTGAGGGGATAATAATTCTGAGTAAATATATTTCTCTATGAATGTTACCTAAATTGTAAGACATAAGACATTGTTTAACTGAAGGTCAATCGATTAGTTCTTCTATGAGTTTTTAAAAGTGTAAACTTTATTTCTTTTTGATACTGAAGCCAAACTAACATTTTCGATTGTTATTTCCGTAATTATAGAATATCACCTATACATATTTCTATGTATGTAAATTCATGATGTAACCTTAAGACTATTTTATTCAGTCGCATTCTATAAGTCAACTAAACTATACAGCACATTAGTCATTTAATCAAATTCACATTTTTAAGTAGCAACAACGTGGTTAGAAAACAAAAAAAAATCTATATAAAAAAAATTGACCTATTCGAAATAATAAAACCATTCGAACACATTTGAATATTAATTTTATTTCATTTGAAAAACTTTTACAAAAAATTTATATGAATCGACGGCGTAACAAAGTTCAGTCCTCTACGTCAGTGAAAAAATGTAAAAATAAATAAATTATAAAACTATTTTTAAATAAGAAATATTTTCATGATATACAAGTATATATGCATATGAACATGTGTATATAAATATGTTTATATTACTTTACTATAATTTTAATTTTAATTTTAATACGATATATACGTATGTTAAATATGAATTATTATGTAAAAAATGATTATTTTGGTTGTAAAAAAGCTGTAAACGTTTCTTTTAGTAATAATAAAATATTTTATAAAAAAATGCTTATAGCGGTGATAATGACCAAGTAATTAATTATTTGTTTTTAAATCTTTAGAAAATTTGCGATTAAGTTAATTGCAATATTAGTGGTTTGTAATGACATGAATTAAAAAAAAGTAATTAATGTGAGCAAATAATTCTTCATGTATATTAAGATGAATATCGGTTTTTGATATTATTTTTTTAAGCATTATTCAATTTTATTTTTTATTTTTTTTTTTTCAGTATTGGCTTTAACAATTAATTTCGAAAACCTAATTGTTTTGAAATTAATTCGTTAAAAATTAAAAGT